GGAGGGCGGGTTGGGGCCTCATTCCTCTCACGGCTTTCCCTCAGCTTCTGCTCCCCCGAAGGGTTGCTGGCTCCGGCGGCGCCTTTGCCGGGCCGTGATCCCTCCCTCCGGGGTTTAGCCGCCGCTGGTTTGACAGGGCACGGGAGGGGGCGGCTATGCCCTTCCCGGTGCTTCTCGCCCCCCCTCGCAGGGCAGCGGCAGGGTTCTGGGTTTTGGTAGCTGGGAGGTTCCGGGTGAAGCCGGCACCAGCGATCGTGCCGGAATCTTGAGCCTTGAAAATCAGGGGGGAGGAGCGGGCATCGCAGGGGATTTAACTGAGATCGCATAGCCCAGTCTGTCGGCGAAGTGGTGAGCGTGGAAGTTGCGGTGTGCGTGCTTTAAAATCCACTTCAGAAGTGTTCGCTCCTGGGGACAAAGTAGAGCACGGACAGGAGAGTCCTCCCATGGAAGCGCAGGATAGGAGGCCTGAGACTGCACATCAGGGTTGCCAAAACCGAGTGTTTAGAAAGTATTTGAATGACCATAGTTTGAATTCCTTAGTTTCATTGCCAAACTCATAATTTTCCTGTGTGGGGGCACAACATTTCCTAGTTTTTGAACTTTCTGCCTGTGGCAATGCTCCCTAAAGCACGTTCTGGGCGTTACACGGGATGTTTGTTCCCTGGAACTGATCGAAAACTGTTGCTTTCCCCTACAGCAGTTACTTTTCAGTGGAGCTCCAACTTTCTCTTACTTTGGTTTAACTTACTAAATGTGGAGTATTTTTACTTGGTGTGTCAGATACAAGAGATAAATTAAACCTGCAAGGTGCAGGTACAAACCAGACAAAAGGTGATTATTTGTATGTGTAAAATTTAGCTGGAGAACTTTTTATCTCAAGGGTTTGTGGATGCAGAAGGTTCAGGGGAAAACTGGTTGACTTTACAGAAGATCTCCCATTAAGACAAGCCAGATATTGTCTGTGAGAAAGGAAATCCAGGCTGCTGGGGGTTATGAGAGCACACAGGAGAAGGACATGCGCTTGTGGTGGTGGTTCCTGGTTATCATAGGATAATGCATAGGATGTGACTTAAATGGACGTTTAGTTGAGTCTGGTTGTGGGTATTTGTGGGTAGAGGGTTGTTTTGGGGGTTTTGTTTGATTTTTAGGGGAGTGCTAGATGATAGCTGTAGGATGGGTGGATTTCCCTACTAGGGAGGACACCAGAACTAAGGTTTTGCACTGTTTGAGTAGCATTATCAAACCACAGAGTTTTACAAGCCCTGTTCCTTTCCATGCTTGTTGCTTGAGTTTTAATTCCTTATAGAGAGAGTGGTTTTGGGGATAGGTTTTTTGAGTTCCTGGGCTCTGGTTCCCCATTTGGAACTTCTGATCCTCCTGTTACTTCAAAGTTATCATTTCATTGCTGAGGCTTTCCAGGTTGTCTTTTTTGAAGGAAAAGGCCAAAGAGTTGAGAAGAGTGTCCAGTCTCTCTGAACGGAGCCGCTACTTCTCATTTTATGAAGACTTTTGTAAGGGTGAGAGAACCTCCGTGAGTTTTTCTCTCATCTGCAAGGATTGAACATGGAAACAATACTCTGCTTCAGAAAGGTGTCGTTTTAATTCAAGTAATTGCAGAGGGAAGACTTTGAAAGCATGATAATTGGTCTGCTTTCTTTGTAAGGTTTGGGGTTTTTTTGGGCTTACTGTACCTTCCTAATTCAAAATAGTTACCTTTCATGCTGTGCTCGTAGCTCACAATGAGTGGAACAACAATCTAGCTCTAATTATATGAAGTAAATTTAAGAATGGATTTTTAAATCCTATTATTGTCGATACTTAGTTATAGCTTTAATGCCTACTTCAAAAACTGCGTATGAGCAGACCTGAAAAATGGATAGGGCAGCAAGGAACAAGCTCTGGTATTGGGATTTTGTAGAAAGTGGAGGAAACGATTGTTGGTACTGGTTTGGTTTGGTTTGGTTTTCCCTTTGTAACACCCAGAAAACACAAGTGGAGATAAACGTACCCACATGAGGCAAAATTTTGCATCACAATAAACTGGTCAAAGTTTTGGAGACTTGGCTTAGGTGGAGCTTGGTGTTGATATGAGACCCTGAAGCCCCCTCTCTAATAGGGTAAACTGGTGCCACTCTTCGTGTTGTATTTGTGTCCTGAGGGCTTCCTTTGCTGTCTGAAGGGCCAGAAGCTTCCCTGTCACTTCATAAGAAAATAAACTGCGGGTACCCTTGCTTCCTGCAAACTGATGCCTATTACAGAAAAGTAAATTCTCTGGGTGATGCTACTTTTCCCTCAGGTTATAGAAGGCAGCAAGGTGGAGTGAAGTGTGGGAATGCACGAGTGCTCTCTAATTAGATGGTGATGTTTTGTATTTCAGGGCAAATGACCCAGCTTTGTGAACTGATCAATAAAAGTGGAGAGCTGCTAGCAAAAAATCTTTCCCATCTGGACACAGTGCTTGGTGCCCTGGATGTGCAGGAACACTCGTTAGGCGTTCTTGCTGTCTTGTAAGTGTTGCTTTCTTTGAATTAATTATCTTAGTGTTAAAACTGCAGGCAACACGTTGAATTGTCAACCAAATGTTTTTCTTTTGGACTTAAATGTTTTCTGTCTGCATTTCTTAGAATGGTGCTTTGTTTCCTTTGGTGATAGACGTTTTATGAATAAAAATACCAAGGCAAATTTGCATTTGCAAAAGCAAAAAAAAAAAATCTCTGGAGCTTGTAAATGCCATTACTGTCAGATACAGCCTTAAGGAAAACAAACCCCAATATTACCATCTATTTCTCTTGGTTATAAGTATTTTTCCATACATGTTCAGTAAAAATGTATAAAACTAACTTTTAAAACTTGAGTGACCGGGCAATGAGTGCACTGAACTGTGAGCATGAAGCACCACACTTTTTTTGCCAGTAAAGCATGAGTTCTTCTTGTAGTTTCTGGGTATTTGTCTCTAGAGAGCACTGAGGCTCTTGCTGCAGTCTGTAGTTTAAGATAATACTTGAACTGCCGTGGCAATGCTGAGGTAAGGTAAAGATATTTGGCCCTGAAGCTCAAACTGTTGTTTCCAGCTGTACCTAACAGCAGGTGAAACACCTCCATATTCCACTATTATTTGAAAGTTCTCTTTTAAATGAAAGATCAGAATTCTCATACTTGTTCTGCTGCCCTTTTGAAACAAAATGTAATACACAGAGATGATGCACTTAATGTTACAGTTCACTGGAATTTACTAAAATTTACTACAAGCAGGGTACGTGTACTGCTTTAGCAGAAGAATTGTATCGTGGGGTACTTGAAAACAGTCCTTAAAACAAGTGGAGGAAGGAACACAACTGTTTGTAAGGGAAAGCGCTCCTAACAAGATGCACAGCTAATATTTAGTTGAGAAATCTTGAGGACATTCAAGCAGGAGGTGGCTGTAGGATAGGCAAAAACATCCAGAGAAGCTGTGTGGCTGAGTTTCACAATTCATCATCCTTAGCTGCTGTTTCTGTTATGACTGTAACTCTTGTACCAAATAAAATATCTTCGTTTGCCATGGTTTATTCTAAATTGTGGTTTGCACTAGACTGAGAATGGGGGCGTGCACAGAAAGTGTATTTTTGAATGTTGTGCAGCTCCTGGGGAAACCGTATGCCATCTGTCATAAATGCTTTGGGTTTGCTTGCAAGCATCTCCATCTCTCTGCTGCAGAGACTCAGTGATGAAGATGAAGCGTTTTTATTCATCTCCAGATGTGAAGTGTTTAACTTTGTTGTTGTTGTTTTTACTTCAGGTTTGTGAAGTTTTCTATGCCCAGCATCCCTGACTTCGAAACGTTATTCTCACAGGTGCAGCTTTTTATCAGCACTTGTAATGGGGAACACATTAGATATGCAACAGACACTTGTAAGTTAAGCTTAATTGCAGACTTAATATATTTTTTTAATACTTCACTTTTACTGATGCTTTTTTTTCACTGCTTTTCTTTTTCCTCCTGTATTTAGTTGCTGGCCTGTGCCACCAGTTAACAAACGCCCTTGTGGAGAGAAAACAGGTGAGCAAGTATCATCTAATACAATTAAGCTACCTGCATATCCAAGCTCTTACAGGGGATTTTACCACGCTCTCACTCCCTTCATAAAGATTGGCCACTGACTTCAGCTGAAGTATTTTTGTGCAGCTTCTTTCTTCTAAAGTTTACTGAACCGAGACTGAGATTTTTAAGATTTCCTTAAGGAAAACCTAAGAAAGAGAACTTTTAGGAGAGAAAGTTACCTAAAAATGTGTTCTCACTCACAAACTAGGAAATCTGTAGCACCAGGAATGTTCTTTACACAACATGTGCATGAGTAGGAGAGAGCTGCAAAAATTATTAGCACTGGTGAGTGAGTGATACTGGTTTCAATGTTGCTCTCACCAGTTGTTATATTATGTTCTTAATTAAATACCTTAAAATGTAAAGGAAAGTTGATTAAGAAATATTTGACCAATGTTTGTGTTGCTAAGATGTTGACTTTTTCAGGCCATTTTGGTGAAACGTAGCCTGAAATAAAGTCTGGTCTAAGTGGAGTGAAGTGAGAGCGTTGCCTTTGTTATTTGGTGGGAGTTTTAGATGGCATCATGGAGTCAAGAAGGGTTTTATCCATACAAATTACTGTATTCCTGATGAGGTTGGCTTTGTGGAGCAGAATTGATGACTTTATTTAGTTTATAAGGAGAAGCTGTATAGGCAAGGTTAATTTTATTTTCTGAGAGACTCCAGTACCCTACAAAAAGGGAGCCTCAAGTTAACTATTACTTAATGGAACCTGTCAATTAGTGTTATTTTTCATTTGTAAGTGTCAACATAAGATCCAATGTGCTGCCATCTATGAGAAATTGTCTGAAAGAGATGTAATTTCTGACAGCCCCTGCGAGGAATTAGCATTCTCAGACAAGCCATAGACAAGATGCAGATGAACACAAACCAGCTGACCTCAATACACGCAGATCTCTGCCAGGTAAGTGGGGCATAAGGGCTTTTTGTGAGAGTAAAAGCTTATAAAGTACCTATAACCCGTTGAGGAAATGCACATTCACATATTGTAGTGTAAAAATGGCTTTTAACTGGTTGGGGTTTTTTTCTAGTAATAAATAATATGATAAATTGAAATTAAGTCTGCTTTTATTTTAGATGTTCAGTGCACGTCCCTAGATCTTTGGTTTTGTTGGTGACTTCTGAAGGTCCTTTGACATCCCTTGTCTTTGAGCTTAAAGTCACACACAGCTTCTCTTAGGCAGTATAAATGTAATATCCAGCTACTGTTTGCTCAGCTTTGACAAAAGCCATGTTTGTCTCGGTGTCTTTGGCCTGGATTTGCACTTCTGTCTCATTCTTGGCTCCTGGGATTTAGGGCTGGACAGGAATGTTCAGTGCAGTATTTAGTGCTGCCAGCGTGGTAGTCTGGAAGGCCTGGAGTTTCAAGCAGCTTTGTCACAGTCTCATTTCTCTAGGATCCAGATAATTTATTACGGTTCCCAGTGTGTGTTAAGGGTTTTCCAAATATCATGATACAATGAATAATCTGTGTTACAGCACTGCTGATGTGGACTGCTTTTTCACTCTTGGAGGACTGATGTTTATTAAATAGTACTAAATTTATTTTCAACTTCTTCCTCATGGAAATTTGAATGCAAATGTCTAATTTATGAAAACTTGATTTATTTTCTTGTAGCTCTGTTTGTTAGCAAAATGCTTTAAACCTGCCCTCCCGTATCTAGATGTGGACATGATGGATATTTGTAAAGAGAATGGGGCATATGATGCGAAGCACTTTTTATGTTACTACTACTATGGTGGGATGATATACACTGGGCTAAAGAACTTTGAAAGAGCACTCTACTTTTATGAACAGGTAACTTTAAAGAAAATGGGAAGTCTAAAGTGTGATCAATTGAAAGGCAAAAGTAGCATGTGTCATAGCGCTGAGAGAACATCTCATCTTTAAATTGCCACCAAGAATAGCAATAAAAGCTGTGAATCTAATATAAGGTACAAGCAGTCTCCAATTATTTTCATTCTTAACCTTAGGGATATAATTCTACTAACAGATTTATGCTGCTGTTCGTCATTCACACAGGTTTTGCTTTAGCACGTGTGTTCATCATAGTAATACTTTAAAAATTAGTGTTCACTGTCAGCTCTTCTATGAAAGGTACAGCCTGCATGGTGCCCCTTAGTGAATAAAGTGAAGGAAGAAGCAAGCCGCCTTCAGAGGTGTTTTATTTTAAGAAGATCTCTTACAGCCAAGTAACTGTTGCACCACAAAACTATGCTACTCAAAGGTTGATGTTAAATTTATCTCACTATAAATATTTTTCAGATGCCTGCTTATTACTGCTGGCATAGAAACAGTTCACAGGCTGCCATTCAGAATTGTGTGTTCTTGAAGAAAAAATAGCTCAGTGGTTTTGCTAAGACCTTTGCTGATTTTATGAGGAGAGTTACACTTCTTCAAGGCTATTTTAATATTTGCTACTTTTAGCTTCTCTGTGAAAGAAGAGAAGATTGCCAAATTGGGAAAACTTCGTGTGTGTATGGGGGGGAAATGCTGTCAAACGTGCTAAATAAACTGGTGCCGCATTTTTCTTTTCTGTAAACAAAAGTGAGCTCTTGAGGAGCTGGCAGTATCATAGTAAACTAAAATCCCTTTCCCCTATTCTGCAGGCCTCTTTTAGCATACTTACTTAAATACAAGATCTGATGATGTCATAGCTTTATAAAACCTCTTCAAGGATCTGTGTAAATCCAGGTTCTACAGGAACTGTATAATCACTCCTGCTAACAAAGAACTACAGGTGATCTCTAGAACAAATTTAGATATATACCAAGGAAAGAAATTTTGATACGATCTTAACAGGGTTATTTTAAGGTAGCACGATATGTTCTGAGTAGCTTGTGTAGAATTTCCTTTTTTAGGACACTTCTGGATAATTAATTTTGACAGAAGATAGTTAAGCTTTAATAGTCAAAGGTGAATTTCATGTCATTGTGTCCTTTCTGCATGCAGCTCTAAACTGAGATTATGTTCATGCAGTAGCTACCAGGACCTACCAGTGAGTATACTAAATTTCTGTTCCATTTCTTTCTTTCTTACTTAGGCAATAACTACTCCAGCCATGGCAGTCAGTCATATTATGTTGGAATCCTATAAAAAGTATATTCTAGTTTCTTTGATACTGCTTGGCAAAGTTCAGCAGCTACCAAAATACACTTCCCAGATAGTTGGTAGATTCATTAAGGTAAGTCTTGCGGATACAGCTAAGTAATAGAACAACAAATCAGAATTTTTTTATATTATCTTTTTTCTCCCCCTCACGTGTTGGTACTATTTAACATTGCAGATCATGGGAAATAATGCACGGTGTGCCAGAGCAGAATCTTTTCCTGCCTTTCTAGTGTACAAATAGCTAAAGATTGGCAACTTCTACGTCTATTACAAACTGTATTGTTCATATTGGCATTGCAGGTTTTTAAACTCAATTTGGAAAAACTTTAAGGTTGAATGGTAGTTACCAATATTCTCTTCACTGATACTGCACACTCCTCGATAGCATTTTATGTTAGAGCTCAAACAAGACTCAGATTTCACTTGGCTTTCAGTATGCAGTGTCCTTGTAAAAACATTCACCCGTAACTCCATCTAGTCGAAGTACAAAATGCTAAATACTTTACTCCAAAACTCCAGCTTTATAAAGAATAAAAGCTTCTGAAAAAGCTGCAGGTTTGGAGTCCATAAGCATTCTGATTAGACAGTGTAGGGTGGAAGACAAAACTGCTGGTGAGAGAGTTCTGATCCTTGGCAAACACTCACTTCTAAAAGTTAGTTAATTCTCACTTAACACTGCTTGTTGGTTTGTGACCAAAATTTGAGAGTTCCAAAAATCTTCTAACTTCAGATACTAATGAGCAAGCTGAAACAATTGCCATCTTGAAGTAATTTGGGTGAACTGCTCTTCACCCTCTGATTCCCTGCTGTACTGTGATTCACTGTGGTCAAGGATGACAGTGTCTTAGAGAGTAGGACAAGTGTAATGGGCAGTGATCAGTCAATATGCTCCTTACCTCGAATTCAGCTTACTTCATGTGCTGGTCAGCTAATGGACTTTTTCCTGCTGTCCCATAACTAGAACTGTCATGCAGAGGTCTTTGAATGATTTTTACTATATCTTATATTGCAGTAATACAGATCAAGTGTAGGAGGATCTGTCGTTGCTGTAAAGCCATGTATGGGCATCATGTAATTTTTATGAGAGAGGCTTGAGCTATTTAAATTGACTTTTATGCCTGCATGGCTTCTAACGTTGAAGTAGTGAATAGATTCTGTGAGGCTGATTGAACACCGTGTTTAAGAAGGGTTCTCATTTTTCTAATTGCAGCCCCTTAGCAATGCTTACCATGAATTAGCGCAAGTTTATTCAACCAATAAACCCTCGGAGCTTCGAAATCTGGTGAACAAACACAGTGAAACATTCACAAGGGATAACAACATGGGGCTGGTTAAGCAATGCTTGTCATCTCTCTACAAAAAGAATATTCAGAGGCTAACCAAGGTAAGATGTAGGGGCTTTGTTTTGCTGAGAAATCGTGATTAGTTTTTTTCTCAAAGAAACGTATGTCTGAAATGTATTCAATTCAGAGCAAAATGATAATGTAGTAATGTCACGGAGAAATGACTGAAGCTGAGATTTGTGTCTCTGAGACAAATGAGACTAAAATGCTCTATATAGAAAACCAATTCAGTTGGCTGCTTATGCATTATTGAAAAGGTGGTTCGATATGTCTGTCTATCAGAGGGGTTTGCCCATGAGATGTTCATGCATAATCAACAAAGTTGTGAGCGCCGCTACCCAATGACCCCCATCTCTTCAGAAAATAGGAAACTTGAACTTTACGGGCTACTTCATTAGAGAACAGTGAGTGAATAGGACAGGTTTTGGAAGTGTGTGAAGTAGAAGGAAAACCAGATGTGCTCCTTCTGCTGAGAGATCAGATTAATCCTTAAAGGTAGTCAGGGGAAAGCTCTTTTTGGGCAGGCTCGAACGATGCTTGTTGCAGTAGAACTGACCTCAGGAGAAATGAGGTTCTTCACTCATCTCTTGAAGGAATTTCATGGGATGGACAGTCACCTTATTCACACAGAAAGGTGAGGGAGAGGTTGGACAAGGTCAGGACTGTGACTGGGGTAAAAAGGAATTGCAGAAATGGAGTGATGATGCCGTTAGTTTGGTCTGCACATGTGCACAGTGTAACAGATTGGTACCTTGGAGGAAGAATTGACTTCACTCTCGTGGTGCTTTTATAGGTAATAACTGTGTTCCACTTGTTTCTTCCTGTTTGACTTCAAAATAAGATTGCGTAGGCCATGAAGGATTGATAGGGAAAGTTCTTAGCTTGTAGTTTAACCATTTTAACCATTTAATACTTTCTAAATTTCAGACATTTTTAACATTGTCATTACAAGATATGGCAAGTCGAGTGCAGTTGTCAGGGCCTCAAGAAGCAGAAAAATACGTCCTCCACATGGTAAGACTCGTGACTTGGCTAAATTTAAAAAGTGATCCGATGTATGCGGTTCGATTGGCAGTGCGTGTTCTGAGTGGATGAAGAATGGGCTTTTTTCAGGGTGAAGGAAATGCTGTCAGTCTGCTGTGGTGGTTAGACTCTTCTCAAAAAATCTTAATAGATACTCTCTGCCTAAGATAAGGCATGCATCATTTGTCTTTGGGAAGCTGTTAGGAAATAAAAAGCACATAAGTTAAAGGTTAATTCCCAACAAGTCCATGTACTGTAGTTAGCGATGCCTTACATTAAACCCTCTCTCATTTCAGATAGAAGATGGTGAAATCTTTGCAAGTATTAATCAGAAAGATGGTATGGTCTGTTTCCATGATAATCCCGAAAAATATAACAATCCAGCTATGCTTCATAACATCGATCAGGAGGTAAATCTTTAAGAGTTTACTGCTTTTGGAGTTCCTACTGAAGAACCTCAGTCTGTAATCAGAGAGCTGCTGGGAGAAGCCAGCTTAGATGTAGGGATTGAGGGCCATGAATCATCATTTGACTGTTTCACAGTACCAGTATTTAAAGGGGTAAGATTGATAGTCAGTTATGTCCGTGTTATTTCCTGTTGTGTCTTCTGTACAGCTCGAGATGTTTTGGTAGAGTCACTGCTTAATGTTGGGGATAGGAAGTTCCTTGAATTGAATGGATTGGAAAAATTGTTTTTAGAGTCTTAGGCTTCAAGGATCGCTTCCACTGGCTGTCGATAACCTGCCTCTAGGCTGAGGTGGTTGACCCTCATGGCACTGGCTATCACTGGCCTTAAAATGATTGTTAGGAAGACATGGATCAAAATAAGGGAATGTAAAACTGCTCTGATACTTTTGTTTGGAGGATTAGGGATGGGAGCGTTTTGACATGAAGCTGTTGTGATGGCGAAAGTTACTGGTTCCACATAGCACAGCCGTGAACTATGTTGAAGATCATGTACAAGCTGGACAAAGTAATCAAGTTCTTATCTATTTTTAAGATGCTGAAATGTATAGAGCTTGATGAACGACTGAAAGCCATGGATCAAGAGATCACTGTGAACCCTCAGTTTGTGCAGAAGGTAATTGATTTAGTGTCTCCTGAGAGATTCAGTGCAGTATATGTTGCACTGAATGTCAGTACTTACCATGCTAATAATTACATTTTATTAATAATAATATGTAAACATTATGCTTTAAAACCAAAGGGAAGTGCATGTTATTTCATATGCACTTTATTTTCCTACCTTTTAACTTCAACAAACTGTCTGACTCAAAGGTAAACCTTCAGACCTGTTTTTTGAAAACAAATAACTCTCTCCCTTCCAGAGTATGGGCTCTCAAGAAGATGACTCAGGGACCAAACCATCCAGTTATTCCTGAAATTAATGTTGCTCACCACTCCGCTTTCAAGTAAAAGCTTATGAAAGAATCACGCCTGGAATAGGGCATTGAGGAGTTCCACGAAGAGAGCAGAGAGAACTGAGCTTTGCTTTTCACCTGGACATTCAGAAAATAAAAGAACACCCTGTCAGTACTGTATAATACCAGAAATATTCTCTGCAAAGAAAAAGGAAATCTCAAAAGAAACTTAAAAGTCTGTTGTGGATTTATTTATCTTCAGATTAACATCGTTAATGCATTAAATAATCTACCTTTTGTTTTAAAGGGTTTGAATGTTGCTGTGTTTCTGTAGCAGTCCTTTTTTTTTTCTTCTGGAAAAAAAAAAGTGTTATTCAGGGAAGAATACAAACTAGTGTTGGTTCACTTACAAGATAATTACTGGTTCATTATTCTGTATTTAAAGTTGGCTCATGTATGGTGCGGGGAGAGGGGTGGAGTTTGAGTAAGTTCTCTACGTGATAATTTGCGTATGCCCGGTGTAGCTGGCTGCTGTCTATTAAACAAAGTAAGAACTGTGCTCTTCCCGAAAGGACGAGCGTATCAACGAGTCCTTGTAAGGCAGTTTTGCTGAAAAGCAGAAACCGCTCTAGGGAATCCATACGTGACAGCTATTTCTGATTTTACGTTTCTGGTACAAAATATCTCCTAATGATGTTTACTCTTAGATTAAATTTACTAGACCTAAACAAAAGGATATCTGGAAGGCCTTGGTGTTCTGGCAGATTCTAGATAGGAAGTTGTTCACAGTAAAAGGAATTGAAATTTTTATTTCTATACAATTGGCACGAAGGTTTTCAACAGGCCAATACTTTTCTGCGGTGGAAATCACTTCAAGTGAAGGCTGTGCTATAGATCTGTTTCCAAAGAAAATAATTCTACATTGGAACACGGGAGCTCTCAAAATGCAGGATTTTATTTGGAGATAACATGCTGGAATGCTATCTGGTTTTTAATTTGCTCTTTTAAATATAAAAACTGTTGTTGGATTCTTGAAGTGCTTCAGCTTTTAAATCAATGGGCTCTTTAATTTTCTGTAGCTCTCATGTATCTGAAGATTGTCGCTGCTCAAACACCTCTGAAATGCTTCACATCAGTGCCAATCTCCTACCGTCAGGCATAAATAAACCTGTCACCAAGTCAGAGTGCGAGAAGCTCAGCATCCAGCGCTTCCTTCTTAAACGCCTGACTTGGAGCTGCTTGCTGCTGCTAACCTGCCAGCTTCTTTTCAGGAGCCCGAGCGGGAGCTGAGCATTTCTGGCTCTTGCTGTGTGAAGCTTTTATGTCTTGAGGTCACCCATAGCTGAAAATTTTCCACCTGTGCTTCCGGTGCTGAGACAGAACTGTTGGGTTTTCATTTAAAATTGGTGTTTTCATTCTAGCAGAGCCTCTGTGCCAGTGGTATCCTTTCTAATAGAAGAGAGATGTACCCAGGTTGCTCTCTAGGTGGTAAATGACATTTTTAAAGTATAAAATAGCGATTTAGTATCAAACACAGCATAGGTCCATAGTGTTAGTAACTCACCGCTGAGTACTTGTGCTTCCTATCATAGACTTCCATATTTGAAGGCAACTTTTACAGCTGATCATAAAGCAAAACCTTGGGGTTTTTTCATAACTTGCCTTACCAGTCTTGTGATTAAAGATATTTTTGAAGGTTTATTTTTTCCTTCTTACATGCTTAGGTACTTTCTGCTCTGGTCCTGTGGAAGTGTTAAATTAATCGATCAGTCGTGCTGTGGGCTCAAACGCAACGCTGGGTTCTTGGAGTTTTTACAACCGTGTGTGGCACTCACAGAAAGGCCTGCACACACCTAACCCCAGACTGCCCCCTCCACAGAAATGTGGATGGCTCGCCTTTCATTGCCGGGGCAGAATGGATGCAGGAGGCTTTCGTGAAGTTAAAGAAGAACCAGAAATGTCCATTTTGCAGTGACTGAGCTTTCTTACCACTGGTTCCTACTTGGAGCATGCGCTTCCCTGCTGAGAGCTGCAGGAATTAAAGCAAACCCATACATGCAGCTGGCAAACAGCAGCTACATTTTCTTTTCTTTTTCTTTTTTTTTTTTTGCCTAAAGTAGATAAAATAAATCCATACTACACATCAAAAGGATGGTAGCAAGAGCTATGTAATTGTTTCAAATGATATATTACACTATTTTTCTTAATCTGATTTTGAAGAGGGCAAATGGTTCCTTTTCTGATGTGCGTATTTGTGCTGTTGAAAATTCAGAATTCAGGTCCCACCTGTAGAATCAGTAGAGATAAAGCATTCACCAAAAGTGCTTCGGGGAAGGGCTTTTAAGTAACAGTTTGATAAACACATACGGTCTGGCATCTGCATGTCTTGAGATACTGTTGAAATTAAGTCAGATTTTTAATGAAGTTCCTCCTTCGAGTCTTGGAACTAACCGCATGGGCTGTGGCCAGCTGAGACGCTTTGAGAACACTTGAGCTTGCTGGTTTTAATTTGTATTTGTTGCAGGGAAGGACTTTTGATCAAACGTAAGAACACTGTGTGCTGTGCTCCTCCAGACGTAGACTCTCGGAGGTCCCGTGGCTCGTTCCTCCCATCGTGCATGTCCGCAAGACGTGCTCATGAAATACCGAGTGCATGCTTTGATATCTAACTCCTATTTCGATGCAGCTTAATCAGCAGAGATATAAAACGCAGCTCTGAAGGTAGCATTAGACGTGCAACTACACTTCGTAGCCACAGGAGGGGTCTCTAGCTCAGTTATGATTAGCAGGTATTAAAATGTTTGAAGAAGAAATGGTTAGGAGCTGTTTGTGCACAGCCACCCCTCCTGTTTGTGTGCCACTGAGGAGCCCCGGTTAGTGACTGTTAATGCTCCTGTAGCGCTGCCACTGTGCCACATGCTTTCGCGTGACTCCAGCTGCCTCTTTGGTATAAAACCTCCCTTCTCTATCCCACGGTCCAACCGCGACCCGGTGTATGTGTTGTCATAGGCGATCTGTATAACCTAGGAAATGTTTTCTGCATGGCCAAACTGGCTGAGGAGGTTAGTCCTGAGAAGTTGTTTAAATGTACTATTGGAAAATAAAGATAACAAACGAGTCGGTCTTAGTTTGTCTTAAATGAGATAGTAGGTCTTTCATATTTGGCTTTTCCTTAGCTTTTTTTTTTGGGGGGGTCTTTTGTTCTTGTTGCTTCTCAGGACCTGTGTTTCTGGCTGACTGGCGGGAGGCTGCAGTTGTCTGTGTGTGGCAGTGCCCTGTGCTCAGGAGCTGTCCAAGCTCTGCTGGTGGCTTCTCAGAGCTCTCCTGACCTGTCTCGAGTAGAAATAGTAGTTCTTTTTGTGCAAAGTGTATCTTCCTTGGCAAGTGCTGCTGCTGGCCCTTGTCCGAGATGGGCTCTGGGCTTAGCTGGACTTTGGATCAAACACATCTATTTGTATCTGATCTTTGTGTTATAGTAATAATCTGTTTCACTGACTTGTTTTCTTCAGGGGTATAATTCTTAGCCCACGCGTGGCTGCTTGGATGCAGAGGTGTGTATTGCAGTGCCATCAGTAAGAGCTGCTCTTTCTTGGGATTTAAGTACAAGTTTTGCTCGACCGAGTGATCTGTGCTGCTATCCTGGGGAAGACTCACTACTTGTGTTCAGACGTGGGTATTTAAAAGTCTAGAGATCAACTTCCATGTGAAGAGAAGGGGTGGGGGAGAATACAGTACTTTATTATTGTGAAGTCTGAAAGTAATAGTTCACGTGGAATTGGGTTTATCTTTTCGTTACAGTTTTGTAGAGATCAATGATCCTCTAATAAAACTTGATACCCTAAAGAGAAACAGGTGTAGTTGAATGGAGAGAGGATCTGAACAAGCTTGTTTAACTCCCTTAAAGTTCTAACCTGGGTGACATTCTTGATGTAACTGCTTTATAAATGGAGTGGGAAGAGTAAATACCTCATGGCAGCCTTCATCTGCCCTCATCTTAGTTTAAGGAATTAAAACCCACCATGGGGGCTGCCAGCGCTTGTACCAAATGTCTTTAGCGGAGCCGTCGGGCTTACCTTGCGGTAAACACGGCAGGCGCCCACCGTGGGGACAGGGGAGGCGACC